TTTATACAAATTGGTTAAGATATTAAAAAGTTTTATTAGAAGCGTTTTTTTATTTACTATATAAAAATCTAATATACACGTAGATCATATGAAAAATGATCTACGTACACCCTACCCTTAAATATCACAAAATTTGTCAATCGTGTAAATGATTGGCTGGCATGTGCCGCTGCGTAATCGATGCATGATCAATATTCAATACTTATTAAGAAATATTTTGATAAAAAAAAAAAAAATTTCGTATCAGTTATTTTTTAAGTGATTTAAGCCCACATACAATTTAACATAAATTTATTTGAGCTTTATTCAATACTTTTAGAAAAATTGTGCACTGTATATTTTTAAATTTTCTTCTGGGTTTTATTAGTGAATTTTTAAATGTTATAGATGCTAGTTTTTTAATTTTTGATTTTGTTTTCATATAATCCATGCCCGTGGCATGACCGGGGTGGCATGTCAGGCTCAAATTTTAGGGAATAGCATGCCTGTGGCATGCCAAATTTTTTACCCGTGCCATTCACCCTACACACCGGGTACTCATGTCCGATTTTTACGGTAAGTTGCTCATTAGTACTGATTTAAGCTGACGGTCTAGTCTGCACGACCTAGTAGAGTTGATTCTGGCATATCTTTTATTAGAATACTTCTCGGTCTGTTGACCTTCCGTCAACTTAAATGAAGATCTTGATTTCATAATATAAGCAGATATAATTCATGTCAATGTACTACGTTGGTGATGAAAATCAGTTATTAGATGAGCTAGAAAGTATATTTAATGATTACGAGGTTTTGCAAAAAAAAAGTATCACAGGAAAATCCTGCCTCAAAACCACTTAATTTTCTTAATTTTGTGGAATTTATTCTCCGTTGATTAGGAAAATCTTTGTTAGTTTTGTTTCAAATAATTGCTAAAAAGCGATTCTAAAAACTTGATAGATTTACGTAACAATAATTGAATTCGTTTAATTTGGTGGAATTCATTCTCCGTTTATTGGAAGATCTGTGGTGTATTTCAAATATTCAATTAATCCTTACTAAAAAATGATTCTAAAGCCTTGATACATTAATTGAATCCATTTAATTTGCTTAATTCGGTGAGATTTGTTTCCGCTTATTAGGAAGATCTGTGTTTTGTTCCAACGTAAAAAATGAATAATCAATTAATCCTGATTCCAAAAACTTGATGCATTAACATTAATTGTCCTCAAAAATCACTTAATTTGCTTAATTTGTTGGAATTTATTTTCCGTTTATTAGAAATTAAAAGCTGATATATTTAACATTAATAGTAAAATAATTTAACATTAAAAAGAAAATAACGCTTATGTAAGCTAAGGTAAGCAGATTTGACCTGATTTAGACTTAGTATTGAATAAAATTATTTGTCAAAAATATACCTTCTGGATAAACAATATTCCTTTGACTATATATAATTGCTCCGTTGTCGGGCAATCAAATTTTATAATTTAATTACTTTTTTTACACGTAAAATAATAATGACAAAATTTAAACAAGCAAGTAAAGACAAAGAAATAGTAAAGAAAGCGAATATTCAAGGAAAGATTAAGGGCATTATTTATTTTGATGAAAATGATCAAAACTATGCCCTTATTATTAACAAAGTTGCTGGCTTATATGCCATCAGACTAATTAAATATGAAATCGATAATACACTAGAAAAAGTTAGGGTAAATGTGAGAGCAGTCAAAAGATTCCCTAATTTGATGGAGTTTTATACGAATAAAGAGGATGCTTTTAAAGAAGCTGAAAATATCCAGGAAAACCCGGAATTGATAAATAAATGTATTTATGAGATTGAAACGCATGATGATGAAACAGAAAATAACATACTACTCATAGGTGTAGCTGGTAGCGGTAAATCTACTCTAGCCAATGTAATTAGCGACACTAATAAATTTTATGAATGCGATAAGTGGGTTGGTGGAACTCAACAATTTAAAACCATAGACTTTGAATGGAATGGAACTAAGTATCGAGTGGTTGATACTGTTGGAACGGGTGATACAAACTTAACAAGAGGTGAAGTCTTATATAAAATGGGAGAAGCTATTCATTCAATGAAAAAAGGGATAAAGCGAATATTTGTAGTAATAAGATCAAGACTTACTAATGAAGCAATGGAGCCATTTAGCTATATCCAACAAATTTTTAAAAAAGTCGATCAACATATTACTATTATTAGAACTGGGTTTGAAGACTTTGAAGACATAGAAGCATGCGAAAAGGATACAAATGAAATAAGAAACGCAAATAATACAATGGCTAGCATATTAAATAAATATAATATCATCTATGTTAACAATCCACCGGAGAGTAAAAGAAGATTAGAAAATAATAGAGAAGATCGAGAGAAATCTCGAAAAATAATAATGTCTTATTTAGAATCTTGCAAAGAAAATTACAAAATGGAAAATTGGGATAATGTGTGCGTTAGGATAAACGATTTAATGAATGCTAAAAAATGGGGAGAGAGGAATAATCGTGAAAAGATTGTAAATAAATTGAGAGAAGAAATCATTTCTGTAGTAGACGAACAAATAGGCGAACAATTAAATCGGTCACTAATTGAGATCATTGAGAAAGAACGAGAAGCGGTAGGAGAAGTTAAAGCCAGAGTAACAGGTTCTTTTCTCGGTAATATAGAAATAGAAATGAAATTAAAAAATTTAAAAAATTGTTGTTCAATTCTTTAAAAACTACTAGTTTAGCGCCAATTGCATTTACTATATAACAATTTAGCGCCAATTGCATTTACTATATAACAATTTAATTTAAACGACTAATGCATTAGATATTTATTGTAACGTGTAGCTCGAAATAATTTTTATTTTATTTCACTATTATTTTTCCTTTTCATTTTTTGTAATTTCAAATATCCGCACTTTTTAGACTTTATTAGGGATGGGTCACTGCGCTGAATTTTCGGAAGCTACGCAGTGTTAATTTTTAAAATTCAGGCCAGTCAGCATAATTTGTGTCAGCTTGTAGGCCGCGCAGTCTGCGTAGCAGTTTCAAAAAATTTGCCCAACCCTAGCGCTAGGTTTTATGAATGTACTATTAACCTGCACGTGAGTTGCTACGTGGCTGATCTTTAGTAATAAGATTTTTTGATTGTTATTTAATATATCATTTATAGTATATAGTTACTCAATAAAACTTATATGCGTAATATATTTAAATTTGTAAAAGTTATAGACAAATTGTATTGCTGAATGCACAATTCATCATCGTACTATTTCATATACAGTCAAATCTCTCTAAGCACAGCGTGTAGGGGCCGAACTTTATTTAAAGAACAAAAAAGAAAAATCGTGATCATAAAGTCCGAGTGTATATTTAAGCCAGGTTTGAAGTTGAAAAATATTTGCATTTAAAGATGTTGCTCTTAGAGAAGTTTCATTTTACTATCTTAATTGGCCAATTGTACATTATGGGTTTTCTATGAATTTTCGAACAACAATTCCAATCTTTGAAAGTATGAACTATGCTCTCGAAAATTAGCATTAAGAAAAATTTATAAACCAATACACATATGATTAAACCACAAATTTTATAAATAAATTACAAAAAAATGCATTTACATTTACATCTATCTAATTTTATAATATTGTTTCCTGTTTTATTTTTTACTTTGATCGTTATTAAAATTGATTACTATAATCGATTTGCTTGCTGGAATAATAGGTTATAATTATTTAATGTTAATTATTGGGTAATTTTCTGGTTTGTTTTCAGAATATTGCCAAATACTTTCAATGCGTTTTTTTTGATTATCTTTATCGCCATCACTTAAAATTTGGCGTACGCGTGATGTATATTTTTTGCAGTCAAGGTCATCAGGAGTAATTTCTACATTGTTGTTCCCTTTAATACCAGACGTCTTGACAGACTGGATAGACGTCATCAATTTTTCATCACGACAATATTCATTATCTACACTCATAATTTGAATCTCATAACGACCATTGTTTGGTGCTTTGAATGATACAATGATACTATTACTGTTATTTGTGTGTTTAACATTTTGAGGCGCAGCATACTGCACAAGATTAGAATAAGGAGCTGAAGTTTTAATTTTGCTGTCTAATATCAAATCATGTCCTATTGCCTTTGCAGAAGCACAAATTTCAATTTTAGCACCATCAGATGAATTAATCAAGTCATTAGAAAATTTTTCAATAATTTTTAATGAACCATCAAATTTAATTGTTTTTTCCTCTTGTTCTTTCGAACCAACTATATTTATACAAAGCCAATAATATTCTATGTTGGAATTTGATTCAGCAGTACAAGATACATAAATAGATCCTTGTTCATACGAAATTTCCAAGTCTTTTGGTTCTGGTAAAAGTTTTAATATATCAGTTGATATTGTTGGAAAACTATTTATCACTTCTTCTACTCTTGATGAAATAGAGTACACTCGTATTTGACAATCTTCATTTTCTTCAAATTTGTGGTTAATTTCATCAGTCTCAAATTTGTGGTTAATTTCATCAGTCTCAAATTTACTCGAATTTGAAGTGATCATTTTAACTAATTGTTTGTTTGATTCAGTACTATATAATCCAACCAGATACCCTCTTAAATTGTCTGACAGTTGTCAATGGGAACAAAAGTAATACAAATCGCTCTACGATTATTAATAACTTTGACATTAATATCAGTAGGTTTTGGAAGTTGGGTAAAAGATTTTTCAGCAAATGTTTCTCGTCCATGTAAAGTATATATAGAATTCCCATTAATTGCTTGAACTGAAAATGAATAGGTCAATGCTGTTGATGTAATCTGAATTGACTTAATTGCTTCTTCCAGTTTATCAATTTCATTATCATTTATATTAAAGGCATTTGTCTGTTGGCAAAAAGTTTTTATATGATTTCCACAAATATATACTGCGACTTGATAACTGTTTGCATTTATGACATTTTTCCATGAAAATCTTAGACTATTATTACTATACTTTGTTTTTATTTTTTCAACAGGTGAAAGAAACTTGAAAAACTTTTCAGTATCTTTATAATATTTCGAATTTATGATATCTTTAGACAATATCCTCATGCGTACAAAATGCTCATGAGTAGGGTTTCTTGTATTTTCTTTAATTTTATTTAATTCTAATTTGAATTTACTTTCAGAGTATTGCGCACCATAAATAATAACTTCTTCTTTATCTATTACTTGAATCACTTGACAATAATATCCAGAAACTTGTTTCATATCATTTTCATCATCTTCTAATATTTGTAAATAATCAGTGTTTGGTTGATAATCAAAAGATACCACTTCAGGAGGTAAAAGTTGTGATGCTGTTTCTTCAGCATGCATATATTTACTATCGTTCCAACCTTCTGCCATAGCTTTTGCGCGCAATGAGTATTCACCACCTGGGGCATCAATCAGTTCTTTCTCAGTATCAATTATCCATGATGTGTTCACGTCAATTTTTTTATTGTAAACCCATTGATGGTTCTTATCAGTCAATTCGCAGAAATATTGCTTAATATCAGGATCTGAAGACAAAATGTTAATTGCAAGATTTTTACTATTTGAATCATATTTTGGTGTTAATTTGATTGGAGGTAGCAATGTTCGACTATGACTTTTTTTTACTTCTGCTGAGTGTAATCCTGTATACCTTTTATCTTTATATAAAAGTATTGCTGTGATTGTGACAGTAACATCAAAACATTTCATCAATTTATCATTTGTTAATATAAATGACAAATCATTGATATTAGATTTTTTCCATTTCTCTTCAATTTTTTCTGTATTTACCGTAATTTGCAAATTAAATCTGATGTCTATAGCTAATTTGTCATCTTTTGATTTTGATGGAATCTTCCAATTAATATTTAGAGTATTTTCTAAAAATTCTAATTCAATGGCTGAACTATCCATAAATAAAAATTCTTCTATAACTTTATGTATTCTTTTTTTATATCCTTCAATTTGTTCTTTCGTCGCTTCAACTTTTTTTAATTCTGATTCATCACCATCAAGGATTTTTTTTACACCACCAGATATCAAAAAAGAAATAGCCCATTCAAAAAATACAGTCCATTCTCCAATTAGCAAAAGCGAAATATTAATTTTAGACATCGCATCACTTAATGTTTTTGCTTTTTCAATTGCTTCTATTTTATTTTTCAAATTTTCCAAAGGTTCAAGTTTAGATCTCTTTTCATTAACAACTTCATTAATACGTTCTTTTATTATACTTCTTGAGTTTTTTATTTTATCGCCAGCTATACATCCAAATCCTTTTATTGCAGATTCTCCTAATTTTTTCAAAGTAGTAATTGCTAATGCTTCTACAAATATTGCGAATTTTTCTGGATCATTCAGCAAACTTTTTAAAAATTCTGCAGTGTTATCTTTCAAACATTTTAATATATATCCAGCTATATTGTCAAGATCATCGTCTGTTGGATAATTGATGTTTAAATGGATGTCTATCTTAATATCTGCAATTTTTGTAAGCTTTGTTGAATTATTGTATGTAGCTTCTATATTTATTGAATAAGTGCCAGTAACGTCAAATGAAGCAGTATTGTCTTGATATTTAAAGTTACTTATTGATATATTGAAGTCTCCTATAAAGGTTTCTTCAAGCACAAGACCCAAAATTTTGCATTTTGGGTTGATATTTGATGCCTTTTCAATAAATTCGGCAAATTTATTAGTCTCCCAATCTAATTTACAAATCCACTCCGTGATGACAAACTTATCATTTTTAGACCAATATCCTTTTATTTTCGATTCTTTTTTCCCAAATATTTCAGAAATGGCTCCACTTAATCGTTGTGTCGATTTGTCGTATTCAAATTTAAAATCTGCAAAATGTCTGTCAAACAATTTTATTGAACCTTTCATGCCAATGCTATGTTGGTTAGCACTTGATTGTATTAATAGTTTGTAATTAAATAACTTGACAAATCCCAAGTTTAGTTCAGCATTTTTTTCGTTATCGGTTACTTCAATTGTTATTCCATCAGTAATTTTAGCAGTTACAAAAAGCTTTTCAATTCCAAAAAAGTCTATCTGCGCATACGCACAGAATCCTTTAATATAAATTTTTTCACCAATCTTTGTTTCATCTCGAGCATAATATAATTCTCCATTATTAAAAACAATGTCTGGAAAGCCTTTTGGCCATTCATGGTTTTCTTTGGTAAATATAGTTTTCAATAAATACATTATACCGATCTCTTGATTAATAGTCACTTGGCAAACACGTGGCTTTCCATCTACAAATAAAATTCCTCCAGACAAAGTAATTTCAGAATTTTTGTAATGAAATTTAACCTTGCCGCTTAGATCATATGTACTTTTTCGTATTTTTCTACTAATTTCCATCTTTGAGTTATTGGTATCTTGATTATCTTCGTATTCAAATTTCATGAGAAATTTTAATTCTTCAAGAATTATTCCTTTCATCTTTTCAAATGGGTTTTTTATTCGTTGTGATATTGATTTCACCTCAAATGACGATATTTTTTCACTTATACTCAAAGTCCCTTCGGCCCAAAATTCTGTATCGAGTAGCTTTTCAAAGTTCAGCTTTCCAAAAATGTTTAATTCAGAGTTTGAAGTACCTGGCTTGTAGGAAAGTTTAATCTTTTCAAAACTTAATCCGTAAATCAATTTTAAATCATCAATTACGGCTTTAAATTCACAATTAGATAATTTATCAAGGCCCATGAATAATGCTACCTTTATTTTCATTGAATTATGACTAGGATCAACCGTGGCGTGAAGATTTTCTAATAATAAGTACTCTTTATTGTAATCTAATTCTACATATAGACTTAATCCCGGTCTTAATTTTGGTTCATAAATATCTTCTCTATCTGGAGGCACTATAATGGATATGATATCACCAATTTTTTTATCTGGTTTTATAATTTCATTAATTTTCTTGATCACTTTGCCCGTTTCTTTTTGAATTTGATCCAATGTTTCATCTTTATATGATACAAGTACAAGGTTGCTCTGAGTTAAAGGCAGCACTTTATCTATATCAGATACTATCGATGATGGTGAAGCAAATAACTTTTCAAATTTCAAATTCGGTAAAGTTCTCAATGCAAATAAATAATTCCATTTACTATCATCAACTATTCTCATAGATGGCTTTGTATTTGGCTCAATTAAAAGTAAGGCGTTTCCAATTGATTCAATTTTCACATATAACGCTATGGACGTATTATTTTTATCAAGGCATAAGTAAAGATACGTTTCAGTCTCATTTAATGATGATTTTACAATAAATTGAAGTGACTTCATTTCCTCTGGTTTTGGGTCTGACCATTTGTCATTTTTTAGTAGAGCATTAACAAACTTTGAAATATCGACAGAATGTTCACCTTTAGTAGCATGTATGCTCGCAATAAAGGTATTTTCACTAGAAGCTTTTGATCCTGCAATTACCATTTCAAGTTTTGTACCATCACTTAAAGCAAATGTGCCATATAATTTTCCTTCGAGTTTTTTATCCTTCGTTATATCGTAGCTGATAGATATTCCAACAGGTTCTAAAACCAATAAAGGGTCTTCTAATAATTGATATTTTTTGTCTTGCACTGAAACGTTAAAATTGACAATTTGAAATGGTTCTATTGAGATTGTTATGGAATTTTCTTGTACTATTTGTAAGTCATTGAAATTTGGTAAATTCGGTAAATTTGGCAAGATTTTTGATAAATCATATTGATTTCCTGTAAGAAGTTTTAAAACGTCAGACAACTTAAGAGGTTTTTGATGTTCTGAGATTGAACCTTCAATAAATTTTTTTGTATTTTTGATAATATAATTTAATGTTATCTTGGCGCTAATATTGTCATCAGCTTTAAGAGAAATAATGGCCTCTAATGTAAATATAGAATAAGGATTTCTTGATTTTTTATCATTCTTCATTTTATTGTATTTAAATGATAACTTATCAAGATTTATTTTTTCAAGTTTTAATGTTCCTTCCAATTCAATTGAAAATTTCTCAATAATTTTGTCGTCAACATTGAATGCCAGGTTGACTGAATTAATGTTTAATTGGGATATTGCATCATCAGGAATCTTTTCATTTGTTAGCACTTCAAAAGTTTCTCCGAGAGATTTATTCTGAAAGGGAATTAATATCGTATGGATTTGACGTTTTTCATTGTCATAAATTATTTTTGCTGCCATTGAGTTGACATTTCCCTCAATGCTAAATTTCCATATAGCTGAATTGTAAGTAATATGTATCTTCAATTGTCTAATTTTCAAATACCCTAAATCAAATTCGTTAGCTTTAAGGACGATAGATAATTCTTGGATGATAAAATCTAATGTATCTGAATTTTTCAAACTAATGTTGATTTCCGAAATGATTGCACGTTCAAATAAATCACTAAGAATGGGAATTTTAAAGTTAATTTTGAGTTGAAGAATTTCCAAAATTTTATTTAATGTGAGATGCACAGGAAGATTTTTAATTAGCAAACTTCCAAGACTTTCTTTTGTTGGTGATACGTATTCAATAAGACAATTAGGCATATCGTTTTTTATTGTAACCATACTTTTAATTTTTCCAGACCATTGCTCGTCACGGTATTCTAAATCTATAGCCGCATTTTCAACTTCAATGACATCCTTTTTAATAATATAGCTAGGAATTGTAATGCCAAGTTCGAAATCCCCAATTTCATAAAGGTTATTACTATCTGATTTACTTTTAACTTGTAAGCAAAGATGTCGAAATGTGATAGATTTTAAGTCGTTCCATATAGGATTCCCAAGCATCGGCGCGACATCTTTAAGCTTTTCGAATATTTCATTTAATCCGATAGTATTTAAAACATCCTCCAAGTTTAAGGGAACATCGTTATCATCTAAGTTTTGTGATTTGATTGAAATCACATACTTAGTTGACGTATATTGTTGCTCTATTTCTTTAATAGGTATGTAAGAAAGATTGGTCGAAAGCTTTTTATCAGAAATTAAAAGATCAAAATTTATGTCCAGACCAATCATTATATTTTCTTTATTTAGTGTATTTAATATAGATATAACGATGGTTTTGTTTGTTTGTAACAGATCCGAAAATTGATGTGGTAACATAGATTTTTCTATTTGAGGAAAGTCATTCGCAGAAATTCGAATATCTTTAAGTTTAAAATTCATTGTTGGAGGTTCGCATATTGGATGGAATGATAAATAACATTCCATGTTAATATCTTTTAAAAAGTCTTTCAAGGTTTTCTCATATAGAGGAACCTTTAAATCATCAAATGCATTCTCTATACCAAGTACATCTGTTGCAATTTGAGCAAGCGTTATACCATTATCAAATTTCAGCAAAATGAGTTGTTCATTATCATTCCGTATAAATATTCTTCCAGATTCAATATTTCCGATTTTCGCATAAGCATCAATGATTATTCTTAGGTCAGTATTAACAGCACCTGGATCATTAATAACAACTCTGATGTTAGTTATTTGTGAAATTGAAATATTTTCAAGTTGAAAATTTAATTCGCCTTTCGTTTCCAAAAAGAATTTAGATTTAATTATTCTAGTCCCGGTAGGACCGGGTAAAAAATCAACTTCTGAAGTTTCTTTATTAACTTTACAATTTAATAACGAAGTTTTTGATATAAAGGGGAGTGGAATTTTCAGAAATTCTGGTATGATGGAAAACTGAGGAATCATTAAAAAACACAAATAGCCTAGTTCAAGATTTTTCCAATCTTCTTGCCGAATATTTGCGTTTAAAAGATAATCAAAAATAGTTCTCGCTTTAGAAACTTCAGATATTTTTGAAGTCCATGTAATGTAGTTTTGCAATTTATTATCATTTTCAATTCTTACTGTTGTCGTCATTCCTTCAAGCCTTGAGTTTTGAACGTTGATTTGCACATTTGTCACTTTACTAGAAGGAGGGAGAATTGGAGTAAGGTCTTCAGCAAGTTTTGGCAGCTCGGTTTTTTTTAGGTTTATAGTAGCGTTTTTTATTTCAAGCAGCTTATCTTTGGTAATTTCCCATTGAACTTCAGATTCCACGTCTATTTCGGAAGACAATATTTTGGCGAAAATAGGTGGAAGAGGGCTGAACACTCTTTCGGCATTAGAAGGTCCCATTATATAATTGGTTGCATTAGTGACTTTCATAATTAGACTTTTTTTATACTCTCCAAGTTCCTTCAAGAGAGATTTTAAAGTTTGACCCTTCTTTTGATCATCTGATTGATTTTCGTATGAAAATACAAGCGCACCTTCATTAGTAGGTAATTTTTTAAATTGTGGAGAGGGTGTTGAATTATCAATAGCATAATAAAGAACCTTTCCAGTATTTAATTCTAAATCCATTAAATAAAAATTATTATATCTATTTTTTACTGTCCATTCAAATTTAACAATAAAGTTATTTTTGCCGTTTGATATTCTATATACATATTGATCAATAGGTGGTATATTAGATAACAAAAATGTAGTAGGTTCTTTAAATGGTATCAGATCGCCTTTATTGTTAATACTGAGCCATAGACATGATTCTTCACTTGAGATCTTTGCACGAAATTCAGTGTTTTTACTGATTGGATGACTTAAAACATTATAGTTAAGAATATCATAGATTTTCTTTATTTCCTTTCTTTCTTCAGGATCCCAACGCAATAGCGTAGCATTCTTAGGATAATTTGGTGCATCGTTAGAAAGTTTAACGCTGACTTCATAAGTTTTTCCACAATTAGCATAAACCTTGATAATTTGGTTTAGTTTATCATTAATGTTAATTGATTGGTTTGTCTCATTTTTTACTAAATTATTTATGGTAGTAGCTAATAAATTCATATTGATTTTTGTTCCATTAGTTAATAAAATCGATGCATTTCTTTCTTTATTTGAATCTTCTAATATAGATTTTGCAATTCTGACAATGTCCAAGGGGTCTGGATGGCCATGTCTTGATTCGGAGGAGATAACATAAGTTTTTGCGATAAATGACTCGTAAAAGTTTGAGGTAGAAGAAACAATATATTGAAATGCTAATGGAGAAAATTTTAGACAATTCCACATTGAATTTAATAATGGCTTTAAATTTTTTGCATATTGTGATCTACGCTTCATTTGATTACTTCGTTTTGTATAAATAATGATTATGTCAAAATTTCCATAAATTCGCTTTTTTATGCTATTAAAATACCGATCAAGTTCTTCTTCACAGATGTTATCTCTATTTTTGATAAAATCATATTTTTTCCAATTAATTGGATCACTATTTTGATTGTTTTTGTAAAAACCATATAATTTTCTTCCAATATCGGGCCAATTTATTTCATTCCATTTCCAATCAACGTCATCCTTTTCCGAATTGCTAATTACCAGAGCATCTGCCATATATTTCAGAAATAATTTAATAAACGTTGGGTCAAAAGCAGATGTTAGATATTCTTTTGATAGAGCTGCTTCTTCGAATATTTCAAAATTTGTAAGGTTAAACATAAGTTCGAAATTTGCAGCAATATCTGCTTTGTCGTCATTATCATAAAAATTAAAATGACCACTATAATATAAAATCATCATTAGTGCAAATTGTTGATTTACATACTTAGGAACATATGTTTCTGCAATTATAGAATTAATTCTTGAGCCATGATATGGTACTTTAAACAGATCTATGGTGAGGCGTTCGTTAGATTGCAATAAATTTAGCTGTTTATTTGGTTTAAAAATCTTCTTTTGATATTCTCTTAAATTTATCTTTAACACTTCTAATATCCATGAAGCGTCATTATCACTAGTAAGTAACATTGTTTTAATATTTCCATCTTTCAGAGTATGTTGCAAATATGTAATGATACTTGAAATATCCACCAGTATATCAGATTTATTGCTCTGTATATTTGATGATTGTTCAACGACAAGTTTTATAGACGGTTCTGAAGATATATCGTTATAAAGTTTCGCAGATTTATAAAATTCTCCAGCAATATTCGCCACATAATTCGCCATTGGACTATTTGACAAATACCCCACATAATTGGTCGCAAAACTGGGCACAGTAATATTTGCCATGTAATCGGAAACAGGAATATTTTGCATATAACTGACAATATTCAAGTTTTCTTTTTTTTCATCTTTTTTTATACGCTGAAAAATTAAAGGACTTCCTTTTTCTTGGAAAAAACATTTTATATAAGTATTGTTGACAATTTGGATATCGTCTAATCTATGAATTTCCTCAAATTCGTATCGTTTAATAATTTCAACAATTGGCATATCTCTAAATTCCTCGGTAAGGATGACATAATCAAGATTTTGGAATTTTTTGCCGCTATCACTCTTCAGTGGAAAGAATTCGTTAAAAAGTTTCGTGACACCATCAAGATGATTTTTATGTACGCTTGTTATAATAATCCCTTTGAATGCCGTTATACGACGCTTGAGAATCGCTACTCTCAAATTTTGATAATACGGAGTTTGTACAGACCCACCATCAATAATTAAAAAATAATTATCTGTCCAAAAAGGTAAATAGTTTTCAAAATAAATATACAAATATTTTAAAACAAAAAGCTCCGGCTTTTTAATAGCTTACCATTGAGTTCTAAAATTAAACCGTCACCATCATCCGAACAAATAAAATACAAAATAGGCTCCAACTCGGACATTATTCACAATTTTGAGTACATAAACAAATGTTATTAAACAATGTTATGTTTTATTTGCAAAAACACCGTGTTTTTTATTTAAAAAAATTGCACGTACAATCATTTCCAAACTTGACTTGTTTTTATTTGGTTCAACATATTTTATTACGGCTGTATGCAAAACATGTGAAGACTCAAAACCGAATCTCTTTGATTTCTTTCAAAAAGAGTGATTCATTAGGCTTATTATTGTTTACTGCCTCATCAAACAGTTTACCTTTTTAACCATACGTGTACACCTTAATCATAAGATCAAGGTCACACTATTACTAAATTTATATTAGTAACTTTTCATTTTTAGCAACCAAAATAAATTACAAAATAAACATTAGTAATAGTAATCCGAGATAATCTTAGATGTTAGCTGATGAGATATTTCGCGAAAAAAAAAACATTACTCAGATTTCTATATATGGAAGATACGTTTTGGCACTTTTTTATAAAATTACCATATTTACCCGACATGTGTACCTGGGGTACTTCACTAGCCCATTTTAGTACCTGAGATACGCGTGTAGGGGGTATACTGTACGAGTATTTCTATGTTTTTGATAACATTCTTCGTTACAATCTAATTTACTAACATATCCACTCTATATACGATATTAATATATGCCCTATCTGCTCTATCGAGTATATATGCCATATATACACATCTGTATATTTATCATTTGTTGTGGGGGTAAGTTAATCAATTTGCATAAAGTATCTGCTTTATGATTTTATGCTGACTTCGCACTCGCCTTGATTCTTCCTTTCATTTCTCGTTCAACACCTAGTCCTCCTCAATAATGACCACCTCACCTTTTACACATACAAGGCACTAATGACACTATTTATTGGACACGACTAATTTCGCTTAAGAAAAGTCAGAGATAGAAGTTCTAATACGCAATTACATCATTGATTAATCAGAATGCAATTCTTGAATGTGTGCTAGGTTGTGGCGCAGATTGCCTGAACTGCGAATCAGATTTCAAGATGCAACGTAACACGAACTGGAAAATTTAAAACGAAGTCCGTTTTGTCAAAAATCGCCTATTTCTTTATAAAATTACTCTTTGTGCACTAACAAATAGTGATGGGTAATTTGCGGTTTTTCTAAAAATCCCGTGCGGTAGCTCACTCACAAACAATTTTTCAGAACGTGATTTTTAACCAATTAGATCGAAAGATCAGGTGAAACGTAAAATCAAAACAATCGAATTAAGCGAAAGTTTAAATCATAGATCCCAGCTTCAAGGTTAAGATTAAGTCCAAGAGAGGAGCATAGTTTATACCAATATTTTTTTTTGTTAGAACGCAGAAGGCAATTTCATAGTCAAAATTTCGAGTTATTAACGATTTTGCTTTTTAAAAATGCGTGATTTTCACGTTACACATGATCCTTCGATCTAATTGGCTAAAAATCACGATCAAATTTTTTGTGGGAGGCTTTACTTATTTGTATCGGTAATAAAAACTCCTAAAAAGGCAGTACCTAGCCCATATATGTCTGTAGAATTAAATTATTAAAAAAACTTTCTTTTTTTGGACTTTAACCGAATATTCCTCAACAATTATCTACCCAAATTCAATGAATTTTTTTTAATTTTAATTATGAGTTCATAGAATTATCATAAAATAAAAAATTTTTTGTCGAATTTGGATAGCTGATTGTTGAGTAATATTCATTAAAAGTTAAAAAAAAATTTCATTTTTATAGACGTCTAAACTTTAACGAAAATTACTCGACATTTACCTGATCAAATTTGGTCAAAATTTTTTATTTTAATTCTACATCACAAAGTTGTTTTTAATAAATTTTATGTACTCTATAAAATTATATAAATATTATATAAAATTTTTATATAGGTCTACAAACCCAATGTAGACTTATATAATAAGAATTATTATATGTAAACTATGTAAATTTTATTTATATTTATATAAAATAAATTAATTTACTTCAGCTATTTCTCAAAAGTGACTAAGATAATCACCGATCGATGCACTAAGTAAAAATGTTCAGCATAGTCGAAAACCACTTTAAAATCTAATCCTAGCTTTAATATTTAAGTTAAAATTTATTTGCTATTTTATATAATTTTACATAGAAATATATATAAATTTATATAAATAGATATGTAAACTCTACATTAGATTTGTAAAGCTACATAAAAATTTTACATAATTTCACATAAAACCAACTTTGCGATGTATATATTTGTATAATTAAAATAAAAAACAAATTGATCGTTCAAAGCTTAGACGTCTATAAAAAAGAAGCTTTGCTAATTTTTTTTTTAACTTTTAATGAATATTTCTCGACAATCAACTATCCAAATTCGACAAAAAATTTTTTATTTATACTATAAGCTTATAAAATTAAAATAAAAAATATTTCATTAAATTTCGATAAATAATTGTCAAGAAAGCTTCGTTTAAAGTTTAAATCAAAATTTATTGCAACTTTACTTAATTTTTTTAAAAAAAATTTTAAATGAAGATTTCTCAATGCCCATCTATCCAAATTCTATGAAGATTTTTTATTTTAATTCTATGTGTTCATAGAATTAAAATACAAAAAAAAAACATTGACCGAATTTGGATAGCTGGTTGTTGAGAAATATTCATCAAAATTTAAAAAAAAAAATTTAGTTGCAGTTTCTTTTTATAGACGCCTAAACTTTGAACGAAGATTACTCGACATTTACTTGATCAAATTCGATCAATTTTTTTTATTTTAACTATATATATCCATAAAATTAAATAAAAAAAATTTGATCGAATTTGACCAAGTAAATGCCAAGTAATCTTCGTTCTAAGTTTAATCATTTATAAAAAAAAAAAGAAGCTGCAGCAAAATTTTTTAAAATTTTAATGAATATTTCTCGACAACTAGCTATCCAAAGTTGACGACAATTTTTAATTTTAATTCTGTGAATTCATAGAATTAAAATACAAAAATTTTCATCGAATTTGGATAGAAAGTTGTCGAGAAATTTTCATTTAAAGTTCAAAAAAAGAAAATCTGTTTTTTTTTCGATATTCCAAGGTTTTTTAAACCTTTTAGCAAAGATTTCTCGATAACTACTTAACCAATTTCAATGAACATTTTTTTATTTAATTTCACAGACGTATAGAATTAAATAAACCAAATTTGATCGAGTAGTTATTGAGAAATCATCGCTAGAAGTTTTAAAAATGTTTCTAGAACCAATTTCGTTTATTGGCTATTTCTTTTTTAGGGCTATGGGATCTCGCCAATAGGAAGACTTTCATATGATTTGCTGTTTAAGTCTATTTAATTTTACATTATTTATATAGTTTAAAGTACTTTTTTAAAAAAAAATCAAACTATGAAGAATAAACAAAAAAAGAAGTTTATAAAAAGTTGTATTAGGGGTGTAGAACTCCATCATTAAAATAATCAAAATCATTTTGGTTTTAGAGAAGTCAACATAATAGCAACTTTTTAAAGATAGATAGAATTAGGTTATTACCATGCTAACTTCTCTAAAACAAAAAGGGATTTTGATTAGTTTTAATAGTCGAGTCCTACAACCCTATTAACACTTTCTATATACTTCTTTTTTGTTTATTCTTTGTAGTTTGTTTTTTCTTAAAAAAGTACTTTAAACTGTATAAATAATGTAAAATTCAATAGACTTAAATAGCCAATCATATGAAAGTCTTCCTATGGGGATCACGCGCATAATTCATTATCAATAACATTTCGGAATTATACGGATGTGTTTTTTGGAAAATTTCAGAATATCTGTAAATTTCGGCTGGAATTATGGTATTGGCCCGAATTATAACAAATACCTGCGCGGGATCATATGCGGATCACGCACGTTGCCCATCACTACTACCAAAAGCTTTCCTTGAATAATTTTATTATATACCAGCCTAACCTCTAACCATTATAAAAGCACCAACCTTAACATAAAAGAACTTTAAAGGATTTTGACTGTGTTATAACTATAAATACTGGTGAAACTGGTAAAACTCTGGGCGAATGTTGGTAAAACTGGTGAAACTGGTGAAATTTAATATAACAGCCAATTAGATTTTAGATAGTTACCAGTTTCACCAGCATTATTTAGTTTCACCAGCATCTATAGTCATAACCAGTGTTTAAAATTTGATGTTCTCATGCTTTTTAAGAACATTTAGCAAATTTTATGAACATGAATTATTGAAAAATGTTCTTTTTTGAGAACATTTAACTAATTTTTTAATATTAAAATTTTCTAATACTGAGAACATTAAAAATTTTTTGAGAACATTAAGAATTCAAAAAATGTTTTTTTGAGAAAATAAAATCAAATTTGAATTTTAAACACTGGTCATAACCTGGCACACTACTCTAGTCATTGCGCCTTAACAAACAAGTAAGAATCTTTAGATACAGAATAAACAAAGATGACGAGTAAAATAAATATTATGTTTCTTAATAACCCAAGCCTTAAAATCTGCTTAGCCCCATTACAATTTACGTGATTTAAGGCTTATACACATTCTCGTTACCACCCATACATTATCCAGTCACGATTTTCTAAGAAAATCGTGACACTATATATAATTAAATCTGCATAAAGATCAATTAATTAATTAATTTAACTCCAGATTAATTTTGTAAATCGATTTCTGAAATACAAATCATATAAATAGAATTGAGCAACAGGTTTAATATTTTTACTTTTTCTAAATTTTGAGCAAGTTGGCTTATTGTTTCGTATTTTGTTTTTTTTGTATATTTGATATTATAGCTTATCAAAAACTTTTCTTTATTATAATAAACTTAAACAGTAACATTATATCTATAGATTTTCATGTCGTTACCTCAACTTAGTCTTATTTTAACAAACAAAAAGTACTAATCAAAAATCGAGGCAAAAATTCAAGGAAAAAAATTCAAGACGAAGAAACTTGAATCTGCTCAATACGTACAGCTTGGTAATTTAAAATTTTGT